AATGACTTCCCTGTAACACTTACAAGTTTAAGTGATGTGCACAACATTATAGTAAAGAAAAACAGCACCATAGACATACCTGAGGCTCTCCACTGATGTCAATGTGGTGGGCTCCATTCTCCACAGAGGCCTTCACCATTTGCTCACCAAAAAACCTGTACTATACACAGACAGAGACACATACACACATATATTTAAATAATGCAAAACTTTATTGTTCTTATTTGGTGGAGGTCTGATTCCCCGGCCAATTGTTTGTGTTACTACTTTGCTTTGGGCTAAAAAAAAGGGTTCAACTTTTTGAATGTTAGCCAGAAAAATAACAGGCCAAGCCTCCGTCTAAACCAGGGGTCGGCAACCTTTTTTATATGAAGTGCCATTAAAAAAAAGAATTGTGATCAGTCTGCCGACGATCGTGAATTGTCAACGGGGGGAGCTTGACGCTCGTGAACTGTCAACAGGAGGGTGGGGGAGCCTCGCTGCGGGGAAGCAGTGTGTGTACCTCTTTCACCTGTCAGCGCAACTTAGGCTACATGATGCCGTTTAAACAAATGTAAATAATTGGTTTAAACGGCATAATAATAAGGATGACCATCCGTTCTGTGATTCTCCAGCACCTCCTAATTTGGTGTAAAAAAATACTCCTCACAAATACAGAGCTTTTGACAGCTTCTTTATGAATAATACAACTTTATAAGCCTCTTCAATTATATGTTTATTCAGCACAAATCTGAATATAGAGTTCGACTTTACCAAAAATGTTTCAAGTTTAAATCTAAGATGTCTGCAGTAACCACATCAAAATAAACAGTTGAAACCAGATATTCCCTTGCATATCATATCTCAAGATCTTTTTACTTATCATTACTGCCTAACCTCCACACACAGTCGGACAAATGTGAAGGTTGTATGGAGGCCCCTATGGTTGCAAAACATGTCAGAAACCATTTCTTTATAATTAATAATAAACTTTTCCACCATACCTAGCATTCTAACATATCCCCCCCAGATATTGACTCTCACTCCCTTTTGTTGCCGATGCAGCAACAAGACATGATCCCCAGCTGGCAACGTCCCGTAATCACTGGGTGGAGGAGGTGATGACACGCCTTAAAGTAAATACCCTTAATTTTCTCAACCGTTTGCATTCATATTATAAAAACCTCTTCTAATATAGTCCGTCCATGAATGCAACCATATCAGTCTCTTCCTCATTTTCTTCTGATATTTGATTTGGCTCATTTGCATTTATTAACCTTCCTCACCTTCTGAGCACAGTTGGTATGTCTGTCTGTATGCAAGTATGTTTGATGATAGATGCACAGTGTCATCTTTGTGTATTACACTTTGTGTTTTAATGTTTGCAAAAATGTTAATAAAATATCTGATTAATAATAACAAATGATCCACTGGATTTCCCTACAAAGCATTGCAGCTGCAGAACCTAGCTCCAAGGGGAATCCTGTTAAACTTGAACATTGAGGTTTCTTTTGTTTTATATATTCATGTTTAAAAATACATGCGAGTCATATGATCTGTCTGATTATTACGAGTTATTATTCTGTTTGTAGTCTTAAATAGTCATCCTTATTTTGTTGATTTTGGATAACCAACCTGCAGAGCGAAGTACATTCCTCCTTTGTAACACTCCTTGTTTCTTCTTCTTGGGCTAGTATGTGAAGCGTGGGGTAACAAGAATACTGGCAGCACCCCACTCTCAATGGCCTTTACCAGATGTATTAAATGTATACTCACTTAAAAGACGAGATAGAAACACTGAACTGATAAGAGAAATAAGAGGGTGTATTTTTTTTTACTTCAAATATTTGTCTCCATTTAAACCAAGTTGCCAGCTGCTGTGTACAGCAGTAGGGAAACTGCAGTGGAAGAATTTGAATTGAAACAAGAATCTTGAGTTCACACGGAACGCAAAGCAGTGCTGGATGCTTTCCATCCGGACTCAAATACAATACGACATATTGTGTGCTGTAAGTCAGTTGGCTTCATTGTGTAAATAAAGGCTGCTCTGTGTGTATTAATGAGAGAGAGAAAACAGGGATATGTTGAACTACACTGGTGCCAAAGGGAGATGCCAACATGCTACATTTGTGAGATGATGTGAGGAAAAATAGTTTGTCATGAGATGGATAAAGAAATGTGTAATTTTTTAAGAAAGATAATGATAGGCAGCTACTTACAGGCCCTACACAGTTGAGAACAATCACAGCCTGTTTGCACATGGCTGCAAGAGAGCCTGGTTCTCCCACATCTGCCACAATGACATCCACTGACCTCAGCTCAGGCTTACCTGCAAGCACACACAGAATACAAATGTTTGTGTTACAGTTCTCAAACATCAAACGTCTTTATAGTTAACATAATTACTAATATTCATGATTACCAGGTGTGAATATGGGAGTACTGTACAGCTGCGGGAAATGAGTACGCGAGAAAGAACAAGATAAAATAGGCTACAAGAAGCACAGAAAATGTTAGAGCGGATTGATTTGGATAAACATATTTAACTGCGATTATTTTGACTGAGAATGGAAATTGAGTTTGTTCAGAAATCATGATTTTTACCTGACTATCATTGAAAAATTATCATACAAGAATCTAAACTAAACAAAGATTTTATAGTGTGCAAAATTAGATTTGTATGCTGCAACAATACTTTTTTCAGATTGGTATTTTGACACATATTCCGCCTTTAACAAATATTGTGCATCCTGTGAAATAACTAACTTGTTGGGGCTTGTTGGAGAAAGGCACATTTGTGTTTAAAACGGACAAACTGTTTGCAGTGTTTCCTGAATGACAGTGTGTGCTGCCATGGCTGAGGATTGTACAGTGAGCAGGTTTGTTCCATCAGCTGTTGTTTGCTCCCCGAGGACACAACAGAATAACTATCTAATCCTCTGGAAAATCACATTACTATCATGACAGCAGAAAAGCTCCCTGCTCTTGATCCAGTCATGGAATTTATTATCCAGATTTAGAGTGTTGCATATACATCCTAAAAAATGACTGGCCCACACAATTAGTGTTTACCGGTATTCAGTAAATATAAATATTAAAACGTTTTTTTTTTTAATTGGGAATTTTCCTTTTTTTGTGTGTAATTGTAAATGGAATTTTCTTGTTTCAAATATTTGTCATCAAACACATTAATCTATCAATTCATTTAAGGCTGATCATCAGCAAATATATTGACTTAAAGTTTGATGGTTTTATTATTTTAAGTATAAATAAAATATTACAACAATGTGCTTCTTACAGATACTATTAGTGCAGGGAATAGCATTCCAATGTATTGTTGCTGTAGTTAATAAAGTCAGTTTGTGCAAATTGTGTTGAGCATTTTTTACAACTCTTACCCCTTGTTAGTAATCTTGTTTGTCTTTTTCACCATCAGCAGTAAGGATAAATTGTTTAAGGTGTTGGTTGAGTTATTTAAGGTGAGAGTTGAACCATGCCTTATCTTTATTAACTTTGTTCAAAGGGGAAAAAAGTAAGAGCTCAAAAATTAGTTTTTGGTGGATACAATTTCAATAAATGGTATGATTTCTTTTTGTCAAGTTGCCTCCTCGCTTGTACTTTGGAGTTAAGTCAGAGTTTAAGGTCAAAGTAATGTTAAACGAATCACTATCAGCAGGCTCAACTTGGATAGATTAGTGATCCTGAGTTGAACAGAGTTAAGTGATTTCCGTATGCCTTTGTAAATACTCTGTAAAACCTGATTAGAGGCGCAGCTCTAACTACATTATCCATCCTTCTGATGTTGGAAATATTCACTGAGAAACTATCCCGTTGCAGAACTGTTGGTTCTAGAAACAATCTGATCAAAAATAAGTGTTGTAAAGTAACTAAGTACATTTGGTCAAGTAAGTACTTAAGTACAATTTTGAGGGATTTGTACTCTCCTTGAGTATTTCAATGTTTTGCTACAATGTAGCCTACTTCTAGTCCACTACAGTTCAGAGGTAAAGCGTGTACTTTCACTCCACTACATTTATTTAATACCTTTAGTTACTTTGCAGATTTAGATTAATGACGTGAAATATAAAAAAACACTAAATAAGACTTTAGTCACCTGGAGTAAAATTCACAAGCTACCCTGCAGTATTCAAAGTCAAAAACTAGCTGCACCTTTACCAGCTTTGATAAACACAAATTAATGCATCAATAATTATAATCAAAACATATGATATAAATTATTCTGAAATGGTTCGATCTGAAATATGAGTAGGCTACTTCCTTTTGGTAGCTACTTTAAGCATAATTTGATGCCAATACTTTTTCCCACTTTTATTTGAGAAAAAGTTTGATTGCAGGACTTTAAAAGAGTAACCCTACACTCTGGTACTTCTACTTTGACTTCAGTACAAGAGTAATTTGTCCACCTCAGAGAAAACGCACAACTAATGGAGTTGTTGGGGTACGTACTGAGTTCTGCGGCCGCCTGCTCCAGAACTTTCTCCAGCTTCTGCTTGCTCCTGCCGGCCACCGCCCACTTCAGGTTCCCGTTCGGACCCTCGGATGCGACCCGGGCCACCTCCTCCACCACGAACTGTCCCGTGAATCCGGAGGCTCCGAAGATAATGAGATGGTAGGGTCTGCTGGATGATGTTTCGACACGGGCCATGGTTACAGCAGCAACAGTGGAGGAGTTAGATGAGATGATACCTGCACCAGTCTCTCTGACTGACTGACAGCGCAGAGCTGACTTCGTGCACTTTTAACAGCGCTCCAGAGTCTACTTCCGTAGCAACATTATGCTAATATGCTAACAGACATTAACAACTGCGTGAGGTTTTCTTTACTATCTAAACAATTACGTATCAAGACATTTTGTCACGTTACGTGTGTATTCTAGGTCAGTGAATGTTTTATAACAATAACTGGCTCATACCAAAGAGAGTTACCCATCTAAGTTAGTTTAATTTATCTATTTGTTTTAAATGTGTAATGGTATATTTTAGCATTCGCAGGTAGTCGTTAGCGCAACAACTTCCTCGCGTTTCTGATTGGTCCTCTACCTAGACGCCTTTCAATGACGACATTCAGATGCGCCTGGATCTGCACCACGAGATTGAGGTCACGGAGTCTCAACAGGAACTAGACACACAAGTGGCTTTTTTAAATCTCTGATGTCGTTTTATTTGGATATATAGAGGATATTCTTCAATAAGGTATGTTTAGATATAGCGCATGCAAACGCATTGTAGTAGTTAGTGACGTTAACGCTAGCCAGCGCGCTAACAACTTACATATCCTCAGAATCTCCAAACAAATCAACTAAGGAGTTGTAACGGAGTGTATGCAATGTTATTGTGTGCCTCTTTGGAGTGCATGTACTCAAACACTGAATTTACAGGGTGGAAAAGGTGAATACCTCTCCAGTGAGTTTGATAAAAAGCAACCAAACGTTACCTCCAAACGTGCAAGGAGAACATTTGATAACGTGCTTACTTTGGCACACACGTATATTTGAATATCGTTATTGACTTTATTATTAATAATTGACACTTGCTTGAATCATGTCACTTTTTTAAATGATTTCTAATTTCTTAACCCTTTCAAATATTGGGTAAAGAACAAGTTGGCGAACGTTACATGTACCGTTTTTGTGCAAAAAGTCTAGTTAACCATTTAATGCTAGCACATGTTTTTTCTAATATGGTGTTATTTCCATGTCAGACATTCATTTTATAATCCCTTGTCCTTTTTTCTCTAAACACTCTAGGGAATGACCTCTTGAGGATCTCCCTCCCGTCTCGTCTCTTTCTTCTGTAGTTGAAGGTCCACTAAGTCCATCCAAATGTTTAGACTGGTGGAGCTGATGATGCGCCCGGCCTGCTGCCAGACCATCAGAAGCAGATTGTGTTTGCACAAGGCAGTGTTGCCCCCTGTGGGTCATTCTGGCCGGTGTATCTCTGGGGTTCCTGTGCTTCATAGAAGGGCCTTCAGCCTGGACTCTCTCTCTTCGGGTCCTGTTCGACATACCCTTGGTCAAAGCTCCCAGCAGCCTCTTGCAGAGACGACGTCTTCCTCAGCACTCGCACAGAGGAACCTGTCTCCTGTGACTCTACAGGTAGGCACTTTTCTTGGTCTTTGCTTGATTTGTCCCTTAATTGTATTGTTGTAGAGCTGCTGTAACAAATACATTTCCCCTATGGGGGATCAATATAGTTCCTATGCTACGCAGTAATTGACATGTTTTGGTTGTATTCCTATAGATACTGCTTTGAAGTTTTCTGCACTTTGTTACTGATTGTTTAGCATAATACAGTGTATAATTATTGACTTTTCCTGGCTACTTAAACCACTATGTGTGACTTATACATTCATGTATTGATAGTTGTTTTGTGTTGTGGAATAAAATTGAGAGCAGTAAAACATTACACAGTACTTTTCAATATACTGTGAGCTTTTTCACATGGTAGCAATGGTTTTCACTTTCTATCTGCATTATCTGGTCTCTCTCCAGGGCAAGTGTCGTCCTCTGTCCCGGTATGACTTCCTGGATCTCGGTGACGTCGAGGAGAATAGACTCCATGCTCAGTCCCCTAAAGGGGACAGACACTACATAGTGGACCCAGACCTGGCTCAGCTGGTAGCACAGCATATAGAACCTGAGGATGCTAAAACTGTTATCTTCGAATGTAACCCAGGTATGTATTTGGAAACAAAATGGAAGTCAGCATGTTATATCAAAGTGCTCTTAACCTGTTAAGCCCGGGAGCCCCCGCAACATCTTGCAAGAAACAGCGTCTGAGGGCTTCTTAACATTTAACAAACTATGAATGTGTCATACCCACCTAACGGGAAGAAACTCAGCTACCTGACGATATGAACAATTTTTACCGAAACAAAACACAAGTCTAACGCCGAGCCTCTGAATTGGCACTAAGCGAAAGCGTGCTAACGCACTTTGCACATAACTCACGGTAGAAATATTGTATACTTCATCGGATCTGAACAAACTCGATAGCATATGAAAGCTGAGATTCCACAGATTCCAATGGTATAAGTATTATCACTGTGCGACCAAAACTCGCGGCAGCGAAAGCCAGCAAAGATAACACACAACTTCACTTTACGTAGCCAAAACGGCAAATACGTCTTACCTTTGCTGTTTTCTGATCAAAAGTTGTGTTCAAGGGCATTAAAACGCAGATAAACGCTGTTGAAGGTTAATCCAATGTCTCTGTGTCCCTTTTTAAATGATTACTGATGATCCATCATCATATTTATGGCAATAAGCCTAGTTTTCAGTTTTCAGAGCGTAACATAGGCTGCGTTTCACTTCGGTTAAATGGATTCCTTGCGTCCCTCACTTGCGTCGTTTCCTTGCGACTAGTCCCTCCCACCAGGGAAGCATGGAGAGACGCAAGGAAGCCACGAGAAGCAGAGAAATTAGTTTTAAGAGCAATGGGACGTCCTTTCCTCTGGAGCGTCACGTGAAGCGACGTCCGTTTGTGATGACGCTGCACAGCTGATTGTCTGACAGCAGCTCTGTCCCCGTTATTTTCACAAACAGCCCCGCCTCTGTTGGTACACATTTACTGACACAAACATTTGTATCATCTGTTGTAGACTCAAATAAATAAAATCAAATAAGAACTCATTCTCAAAAAAGATAAACGCCATTCTTAAAATGTATAAACGAACATTAGTTAGATTAATATTGATTAGAGTGCACAATAGAAATAAAAATAATTGAGAGAAGAAAAAGAGATATGTTATCTATCAAAACCCAGTTAGATTAACATTCATTAATCATTGGATTGCACACTTAGTTTGTTTGTGTGGAAATGTAGCAAATTAACATTTTAAATAGCACTTAATGACTGACTGAATGGAAATGACAATAAATGAAAAGGTAAAACGAAAAAAGCGATCCTGAAAATGTTTCCAAAAAATGAATAAATTGATTTTTGACCACTTTGTTGTTCAGATATATCACATATTTGTAACTAAATGATACATTAATTGAAACAAAACACAGTATAAACTGAGGAGTGACTCTCGTGAGGTTCATGTATTTTCTTCTCTCCGCTGGGAAACTGCTCTCATGTCAAGAAGCATCAGATCAGTGCATGCGCTGCATCGTCCAATCAGTGAGCGATACACAGTAAGGGGGCGGGGCGAGTGTCTCAGGATTTTATCGAAGGATGGTCTGGTGGTTCCTCGATTATAGCTCCTCCATTATTGCTCCTCGGTCCTCCGGCAAAAATAAGGCCATTGGGACGCTACTCAAGATGGCGCAGACAAATCAACTTCCGGTGAGACCGAGGAGCGAGGAAATAGCCATAGCTTTCGGTTTGGGCAAACAGAGTGTGCATCACTCTCACTCCTCAATGGTAACGTGTAGGTGGATTTAGGAACTTCCCTCTCGATTCTATTGGCTCTAACGGTTCAAAGGAGGTGTCAATCACCAAAATCAACCAATGGGTTCCAGAGATATGGCAAATCCATCCAAATGACCCCAGAGGTGGTTTTTTCTTTCTAAATCTCACTAAAAGGTCAAATTTAACTTGTTTTGCATCAATCTTGATACAGAGTACTTATTATATGTTATAGTTTGGATTCTTAAAGCTTTTAGTCTACTATCCCATCATTCAAGGGTGGTTTTCACTATAAGTAATGTATTTTTTTTGGACGGAAACTATAATTTACATTTTTTTTTTTACTATGTTCAATCTGCATTTACTTTAAAATAAAAACATCTATATTGATTCTGACTTTTCTACATCCAACTCACAGGTGTATCCATAGGCGCTTTCACACAAAGTACTTTTCCCAGGAATAGTTCCCGGAACCTTTATTTCCTGGAACTATCTAGTAAATCGCATTCACACCGGAATAAGTCCCTGAGGGAGCCGCTGACGTCACTTCTTCTTCTTCTTCTTCTTCTTCTTCTTCTTCTTCTTCTTCTTCTTCTTCTTCTGCTTTGGGTTTACTGGCAGGCCGCAAACAACTTCACGGCGTATACTGCCATCCGAAGTCCCCGGCCGGAAGTCCCCGGAGTTGGGGGACTGGCTTAGTTAGTCTCTCTCCGTTTGTGTGCTGGGCTAATGCTAATAATGCTAATGCGAGCAAATAAAATGGCGGCTTCATAAAAACCTTTCAGAGGCCCAATCCCAAACCACTCCCTCGACCCTACCCCTCCGTGACGGAGTGAACTCCGTCTGTAGCCACACTCGCAGCTCAACGAGGCTCCCTCCTGTCAGATGGAGGGAGTAAATACAGCGGCAAGCTTTGGGACGGCCTCCCCTCTCTCCGGCAGAAACAGGAAATGCCGTAACTGTATGTAACAACGGTTTGAAATCAGCATCTCTTAGACAAAAAATGTAAATTAATAACTCAAATAAAACTCCAAACATCTTTCATGTTGACACGGACACACACAGCGTGACTCCGGTCAGGTAGAGACCGGTCTCAAGTCAGCACCGATGCATACTCGCTGTTTGAGGGCTTGATAGCCCACTCCCCCTCCACACCGCTCCACACTCGTTGGTTTGGAACAGCACTTAATGTGGCGGACCATCCGCGCGAACGCGCAAACGGAGGGGTAGTGTGTAGGGGTAGTGGGTAGGGTGTAGGGGGCGGATTGGGATTGGGCCAGAGTTTTACGGGGCGTGGTTTGCAATTCGCCCTGCCAATCAGAAATTGGAACCTTTTTCTCCCCAGGAAAGTCCCTGCTCTCTAGCAGGGACTAAAAGGGGGTGAAACGGTTTGCAAAAACAAGTTCTAGTTCCAGGTCTTTTTGGTGTGAACGCAAAATCACAGGAACTATCGGAACTATTCCTGGGAAAAGTACTCCGGTGTGAAAGCGCCTATTGCTTTGAGAAAAAAGATTATTAATTTACCCCTTTTAAGAAGTGAAGATATAGTCATTTGTTCTGGGCATGTCATTTTCGAGCCTGAAACCTGAAAAACAGGCTCAGGGCTTAACAGGTTAATGTATGCATAATGTTCCTGTGCTTCAGGTGTGTAACTTGGATCTAATTTTGCATTAACATTGACAAAGTACCCAGTTAATTTTGGATTGTGTTAGAGAAAGAATATGCATGTTTATACGTTTTGCACTGTATATTACTGTCTGTGAAAAAACAAATAATTGAAAGGCTTTTTTGGTGTCTGTCTTTCTTAGGTCCTGGGGTGTTGACGAAGACTCTTATAAACGCTGGAGCTCAGAGAGTTGTGGCTCTTGAAGGGAATGCGTTGTTCCTACCAAAATTACAGGTAACACAATTATATCAACATATATCCCTAAGCAAAAGTCAACCAAGTTTTAGTTTTACTCATTTTAATCATCAAATGGTAATTCTTAAACAAATAATTGTACCCTTTTTGTAAAAGTTTGACAAATGATGTTGTATCCCCTACATGTTTTCATGTTGTAGGAGTTGGAAGGCCGTCTTGATGGTCAGCTGGAAGTGGTTCACTGTGACTACTTTAAACTAGACCCTGTGGGCACTGGAAGCGTTAAACCCCCTTCTATGTTCACTGACAAACTGTTCAATGATCTGGGAATATCAGAGGCTAACTGGACTGATGGTGAGAACAACACACTGAGGAGACACTGCTATGTGGCAAATTATATCTCCCACACATGCACATAAGGGTTTTTTGCACCTTAAAGGTCCCATGTCATGGCCATTTCCACTGATCATAATTCCATTGTTGAGGTATACTAAAATAGATTTATACTGTGCATTTTTCCAAACTCACATTGGTTTCGCATACAGCATCTCTGTAAAGTGTGTGTATTCAGCAGTATTCACTCTCTCCACTGAACAGCTCGTTGCAGCTCTTGCCCCCCCTCCCTGTGAGCCCAGTGTGCTCCGATTGGTCAGCTCGGCCACTCTGTTCTGATTAGTCAACCACCAGAGAGGCTCCGCCCATGTCTAACAGTGCTTTTTTCGGCTCGCTCTGACTCTGAGCGGAACATCAGTCTTATAATGGCGTCGGTACAGCCGTATATTTTATACGCTAACTAACCGAACTGTACCTACAACTGTTGTTATAGAAGAGTAAGTTATTTTTACCTGTAATAAACTACTACTGTTTGATGAGAAATCAAATCATGGTTTGCTATATATGAATGATATGTTATAGGAGCAAATAATTCAGGGAAGAAAGGATACTAAGTATTTCCATCAAACTTTATTTTTAGAAATGTACAAAATGAACATGTGTAAATAAATATACATATATACACTGTATATCATCCATTCCTCCCCTTATAGGCGTTTTCGGCATCTTGCCTATCGCAGCTTTGTAAACTGGTGCTGGGGCTTTTTAGGACGAGGCATCAGAGTGGTCATCCCGTGTGTGTGTTGTCCGCCAGATACGCCAGGAGTTTCCTGATCTGGCTGGACGAAATCAAATGCAAATCACAAAATATTAGAGAAACTTAGTTGTTTTAGATTCGTTAGTAGTAGTTGTGGTAGGAGTGTGTATCTATGTAATCTATATCTAATCAACACAGTTAGCTTGCCAGCTAATATGCTAACCTAAGTTTGCTAGTTGTTCAGTGTAATATGCCAATCTACTATGAACAACAGCTAGTCTAGGCTAGCAAGAACATGTTTACAATTGCAATCTTATACGGGTAGTCTGCTACGTTCGGTCATTCATTGTAGCTGGCATGAAAACAATGTTTTCCCTAGCATGTCTAGCTCTAGGTGGCCTTGTTGTTTAGCTATGTAGCATACACGCTATGAACGGTAGCTCGGTAGCATACACGCCAGGAACGCCAAATATAATGTACTGACCGTACGGTAAATCACCCGGAGTATACTGTCTATGAGTATTTTGTGTGTGATTGCAGACATTCTCCAGCTATGAGATATATGTAAGGCCATCTGCTAACATTGGAGTTGATATATGGAAACGCTAGCAACTTAGTTAGCCCAGTTACCATTGCTCGCACATAGGCCTGTCACGATAATTAATTTTGTTAGACGATACATTTTCCTGGAAATTATTGCGATAAACGATAATATTGTCGGCACTGTTGTAAGACCATTTTAGACCACTGACATAATGATAATATATAATAATAATTCAAGTACATCCTTTCAAACATAACTTTTTATTGAACATTCAACATGGCAAATGAAATGTGAAATAATGTTAAAATATATAAATGATATATAATAAATAAAACAAATTAATTAAATCACACACAACCAAAACAATAAATTAAATAGACTCAGGCTGGAAAACAGAGCTCTCTATATATATATATATATATATATATATATATATATATATATATATATATATATATATATATATATATATATATATATATATATATATATATATATATATATATATATATATATATATATATATATATATATATATATATAAATATGAGCACACATTGTCTCACAAGCAAAAAAAAACTCCTTAAAATAGCAGTCAAGTGTACAGACCACTGTCCATACAAAGACCCAGATGCCTCAACAGGCCATATCCAAATCTGTTTTTCAAAGTTTTCGAGCAAGGAACACCAACATGTTTGCATTGTCGGGCAAATGCATCTTTGATTGTAAACTGTCGGGAAGGTGGGGGCTCTCCATCTCCAGCTGCCGTGTTTGCTACCAGCTGGGAAAACGGAATGGGGTGGTTGTGTTTTAGGTGTAGTTTAAAATGCGTGGTATTGCCTGCTTTTGTCGCTACCTTTTTTAAACAAATGCGACACACCGCCCGGCTCATTCAAGTCCGTAGGTTCGCCTCATTGATTTGGCTTAAATCCATAATACTGCCACACCGGAGAATCGAGATGTGTAGTTAGGTTTTGTAACCAATTCCATTTCACTTTAAATACCCCGCGAGTAACTCCCACGTTGTCTTCCGCTTGTCGCTATATTATTAATTTGGCTGCTACGCTGCTGCACGTGCACACGGAGTGTCCTGACCTGGCTGTGTGTCAGCCCCGCCCCTCACAGCGCGCGTGGCCGGCAGCCACAGCGCTCCTGGCTAAAATGCTGGTCACATCCTTATGTAAACGGCAATTTATCGAGCTCAGAAAAGTCAATTTTTATTTATAGTACGATAAGTCAATTTATCGATTATCGCGACAGGCCTACTCGCACACACACAGACACACACACTGCTGGAGGAGCAGACAGGCTTGGCGATGAAGCTAGAACAAGCAAAACTCATCCTGAGCACACACAAACACTCACAGCCGAAGTAAAAACAATAAGAGTGGCTTGATATTGAGTAAGAAAAAGGTTTATAACGCTGTGAGCATGGGTCTGCGGAGAGCATTTCAACGTAATAGTCCGAAAAACGTTTACCCATCGTGGTAGATACCTTGTTTGTTTTAAACATCATAAATACACAAACAACAATGAATACTTACAGGTTGTGTACCTGAACTCCCGCTGGTCCAAACAAAGTAGGAACAGCATCGTTCTTCAGTGCCCTACGCTGTACATATCCGGCATGAATCCTGAAAGGTTTTGGGAAGCTTTGTTTCGTGAAAGGCTGGCAGATGGTGCGGCCATAGCTCTGGGCGTGGCTACTGGCCATTGCTACGTCACGATACCCAGGAAGTAAACGATGGACAATGACGTATCTCCAACGAGGCGTTTTGGGGAGGTATTTTCTGTGTTAGAGTTTTACTCGCTACAGGGTGTACTTTGAGGGTTTTGACTCTGCAGACCGTTTACATGCATAAAAACCTTCATAACACACAAGGGGACGGGTAATAACCGGAAAAGCATGACATGGGACCTTTAAGTTGAGCCTCTCTGACTAAACAAATCCCACCTCCCTCATACAGAACGTATTATTCTATTGCCATTGCCTATACAGCTGCAAATATTCGATTTTATATTTTCGATTATTTTTCAGCAACTCACAGTTTTCAAACTAGATAAATGTTTGATGACTAAAAATCACAATGCATCAATGTACTTCCCCTATAGCTTTTCACAATAACACACTGGAATTAATAAACACTGCGTTATATAGTGTAATATCCTCCTGAAGTGTGTTTTTTTGTAATGTGTGTGTGTCTCCCCAGACGTCCCAATGAAGGTGTTTGGTATCATGCGGAACCATAATCTCCGTGGCACGCTGTGGAAGATGATTTACGCTTTGTTTGAACAGCAGTCTGTCTTCAGATATGGAAGAATAGAGCTCAACTTCTTCATTTCGGAGAGTGAATACCTGGTAAAGAACTACAACATTTTAACCTCTCAAGTATTAAAGACCAGTCAATCTATTGATCACAGAGTCTAATATTGTGTGTGTTCAGTCCAAAATATAATCACTTGTTAAAGCTGATGGAGACTTGTGTCCGGTAGACAAATTGAATATTGTTCCGTTTATTATCCTTGTGTCAAATATTGAATGCAGTTATTCCTCCAACAGAAACTCATTTCCCGTCCAGGTAAAAATACACACTACAGACCCTTCGCTGTCCTCTGGCAGGTGGCCTGTGATATCGAACTCCTGCACAAGGTAAAGTTTAAGGCAAAAAAAGAAAGGCATTATGGTGTTTATGCATTGTATGAAAAACAGTTAGGTTGAGACTTACACAGAAGAAAACTGTTTTTTTCAAGTTAAACATTTTCTACAGTGTTTTGTCTTTTTTTAAATACTTTCGTGAAGCTAATGCCAGGGGGGATGCTACTCACACTTTCATATTAGCAAGCATTTTCAACATAAATGTGATAGGAGTCTTCTTGATGTCAACCTCTGCTTCTCTGTCTGCGCAGGAGCCCTGGGAATCCTTTGTGTCCACTGCAAAAAAAAGATCCCGTCGCTCTAAGGTAAGGATGAGAAGACCCAACAACAGCGATGTAAAGTGGCTTGATATTTTTCCATTTAATATAGCGTATCGCTGTGTCCTCTGCCTCTTTCTCCCCTCAGCTTCCCAACGACCACCTGTGCTTGGTGCGCCTTCGTCCGCGGGCTGATCTGTTCTCTAATGGCCTCACTCCTTATAATGCTTTCACTCTGCTGATGTTGGTCAAACAGTGTCTGGTAAAGAAGAAGGATAAGCTCATCAATATGCTCGAGTAAGCAAGTTTTATACAGAAAAGTGTCAATATATATATTTAAATTAAGATACCGATATACGGGAACTGACTGAGCTTATGGCAGACAAAACTTCGTTTGAAACTGTTAACTGACCCATTATAAACAAACTTAGTGAAAAAGACGGTTGTTAACCTGCTGTCCTGAGTCCAAAAACGATATACAATATGAAGAAATATCCCACAAAATCTCAAAACAGAAGCTTCGTCTTGTTTTGCCTGTGACTGAAACGCCCCCAGGTGTTTAGACATTGAGAGATCTGCACCCCATCCGCTTCAGCTTGTATGCTGGTTTTTATTTTTCCATTGCAAATGTACATTGATCCAACACACTTCACTAACACAAAGCTATCGAGACACATTGCACAACTGTTTTAAATTGTTCTCTTAGTCTTCCTCTTATTGCATCAGTACTAAAGCATTATTATAATCTGTCATTGAACACCTCATCTGACCTTTATTCCACTCTCTTTGTCTCCCTCTCCTGTTCGTTTCTCTAGTCTCTGGTCTCCAGGCAGTGGGAGCAAGCTGTTAGAAGAGATGTGCCTGTCGGAGGACATTCTGACAGGCCAAGTGTATCCAAAGGAGTATCTCCGACTGTTTGAGCTGATGGACAAAAGTCAGGAGTTCAAAGAGAGCTGGCTTTATAAAGAAGTCTTGGAGAACTGTGGGAGGGAGGGTAAATGGGACTCAAATTAATGTGTATAGTTTTATAGAACAAACGTAACCAAATATTATATGATGACAGTGTAATATCAATAAGAATAATATCATTTGTGATTACATTCATACATGCATACAGAAACACAAAGGATCAAAGTAAAATGTTCATGAAATGGACACAGCAGAAAAACTTCACATAATACACTCATGTAGCGAAAGACTTAGGTGATGAAAATGTGTGTGACTTACTGATCTTTGTGTCAATGGAGGAATTACTTTAAAATTAGCCTCTGTATAGTCCTGCACTCAAATTTCCTTAAGTTGAATTAGTTTAAGACATAAACTTGCAGCAAAAGTAGTTTTGGGGTGTTTATTGAGATCTGATTGCCAGCAGGAGAGAAAAATTGAATTTGAAGATATGTAAAAATGGTTGCAGAATTAAGGTCTTATGATTACTTAAATCATATTATCCCTGTATGAAGACAACAGCGACACGTCCACTAGGCCTCATAAAAAAAGTCATTGATGCACCATGTAATGCAAAATATATTATATTGCAAAAATTGCGTGTTTTCAACTGACTGAAATAACTGTAGTATAGTGTGAGTGGAGTGTCACAGCGCCGCCCTGCATGTATTTAGTTTTGCATAAAAGTACAAAGTTCAGCAGCGCAGGAAGGAGGATGTTTTTTACTGTATGACTTCAAGGCTTTGTATATTTTTGTATATCTGTTGTGTGAGCGTAAGCTTTAAATGTATGAAATGTCATTTATTGTGGATTGTTTAAGCTGCGTGTGAAATATGCTTTTCAAAGACCTCATTAAATCTGAATTTTGATATGTAATGTGTAGGAGACATTTATTTCACGGCTGTTTAGATGCTCACACCATTGAAGCTTTCATTTTAGTATGGGTGTTAGACGTTGGTGATATGCTTCTAAATATAATTCTATTTTTGGAAAGATGCGCATGCCCCTATGTCCTGAAGGTTTTCATTTTCTCTATAGTCAGTGGTGGGTGGACAATGCCAACTTTTACTCAAGTAATGTAAAAGTACTGTACATAGTAAAGAAAAGCTCTTACACCAACTGCAATATTAAAGTGGTTAACACATGAATTCAATAATTACAATCCAATCTAATTCAAAATAATTCTGAGGGCCGTACCTTTTTGTATTTCAATACATTTTGATCCTATTACTATAGCCTTATTTAAGAAACATTTGAACAAAGGGCTTTTATTGGTAACAGTAAACTACACTTTTACAAAATACCTGATTACTTCCAATACTACACATAAATATGGGTTCTGAAATAAATGATTTCACTGTAAAGAATAATTGGTAGATTGGATTACCTGCCATTTTTAAGACCGGGGTTTTGATTTATGGGTTGCTTTGAGGGGTCCACACACTCCACAACATGTAGTGATCTGGAACTTCCAGTATTTTGAAGCACTGCTTACAGCTGGCTTTGCAAACACCATAAAGTGTAAATAGGCTTACGAATTGTGATGTGAAAAATAAAACTCAACATTTTCTATGCACAATAGGCCTACTCAAAAATCTGCAAAAATATGTATACAAGTGAAATATGAAGACAAACATGTTTTATTCAAAAGGATTGCACAACTGTATCAAAATAACATTCAACCTGAAAAACGTTGGAAATACTTGTTTTTATTCAATAATTTCATTGTATTTTTTTTTAAGTCCAGGATAAAAACTTGAACTTTCAAATAAATTGTATTTGTTTGAATGATCAAAACGTTTGGCCTGATTGAGCTCCATACTGTAGGCCTACAGCTGTTGGAGTAGAAGGTTGCTATGGAAACGTTGAGGAAGACTCTAATCAGGCAAACACTTTGTTAACAACGCTTAGTAGCCTACTTTCTTCATCTGGTAGCTACTTGAAGAATACTTGTGGACAGACAGAAAAACCCAGAAGGAATTGATAACACAGAAGACATGATCAACATGGAGAACATCCAGGTGTCCCCGAGGTAAGGACATCAATACCTTATGTTGTGTTGCTGCTACAAGAGTCTGGGGTTAGTTCAATCAGTAATAATACAGTCTGAGCTCTGAGGTAATAACAGCAGGACAGTGGAGGGTATGTTTATTACTTTTACTTACTTACAGAATTGGATTAATTATGTGACATTTTATCAATACTAAAATAAGACTTTAGTTGCACCTGGAGTAAAATTCAATATACTATTCGTAATTAAAACTAGCTGCACCTTTACCAGCTTTGATAAATACATTAATACATGAATCATTATAATCTAAACAAATGATATATATTATTCTGAAATCTGCATAATAAGTACTTTACTTTTGGTATTTTAAGTATATTTTGATGCCAATACTTTTGTACTTTTACTTGAGCGACCTTTTGAATGCAGGACTTTTACTTGTAACAGAGTATTCCTACACTCTGGTACTTCTTCTTTTACTTAAGTACAAGAACTGAATATTTCTCCCATCTCTAATTATATGTGCACAGCCTGCTTCTCCACCAGATTACTCCTTGGTTATGGTGATAATCTTGTATTTGCTTGTGTACAACCCAATTCTAAATATAAATAATCAATTCAAAGTCTCTATAATAAACAAATATATTCCCCAAATATATATAAAAAGTGTGCAAATGTATTAAGTATCCTATCCTGTAAGGGGGTCCGGAGGCATTTTGGAGTTAAATGCATCAATCTGGTGCACTTTGAGGGCAAAATTAAGAGACTGGATCTAAGGATATATCTCTCCACAGCCATATGAAAAATATATGTTTATATTTAAATAATCAAAAAATCATTAGAATATGGTCATAGCCATTAACAAACTGCAGCACAGCCAAAACCAAATAATATAAACTTGTTTCTTAATTTGTTTTGGTTCATTAATAGTGGGGAGTGTGGGTTACTGAATCTGTTTCAGAGCCTTTCCTCTCCCCCTCCTCTCCCCCTCCTCTCTCTCTCCTCGCTCTCTCCTCTCCCTGCTCCTTTGTGAAGCAGTAGTAAACTTGTTTTTAAATTTATCTTAGCTTATTTTACCTAGTTAGCTTTTTATCTTATTATGTATGCATATTTTACTAATCACTTACCTTTAAAACTATATTTTTAGTTGACTGCCCTATAGTTTAGATTAGAATGATTTCATACCAGTTTTTATTTATTCTGTCATTTTTTTATAACTAAAAATGATATTAAGGTGTGCCTAGGAAATATTGTTTTAAATAGATAGTGACCAAAACGTTTGAGAAACACTGAGATAACTCAGAGTAAAGGTAACTATCCAAATACACCTGAGCTGTAGTTATCAGAGCCTCTCAGTCTGACAGGAGAATGGTGAATGACATTACGAGTATTTTAGATAATAAAGCTTTGTTGGGTAAACTCCCGTATTATATCTGCTCTCTGATAACACAGAGAGTTGCAAGCAGCTATTGTCTGAGATCGCATGATGTAGTATTGTTAGATGTGCCAAGAGCAAGGACTGTCTTAGGTAAAGCAGCTTTTATGTGCGCTGCTCCACTTGCTTGGAACAATCTTCAGCAGTGGCGTCGCCTGGCCTGGGCATCCGGGGCTTTAGCCCCGAATGTTTTTTCTGTAGCGGACAATTCTCCCTCAATAATATAATACATTAACCGTGCTTTACGTGAACCTCATCATGACACAAGAGAGGACGGCAGCACTGTAATTTCCCGTGTTCAGTGAATGCAACAGAGGCATGACACCAGACCAATCAGAGAGTTGCATGGAAATAAACATGTGCTTGTGTCATTCAAGCTCGGCTCTGTGTGTGTGTGTGTGGCAATAGCGCATTTAGTGTGATAGAGAGAGAGGGAGAGAGGGGGAGGGACGGTGCCAGCATGGACTGTGTTGTTAGCATCTGGTTAGCTCGCTGCACTAACGGACATAAGGAGCTGTTTGTTCCACAAGAAGCTGGAGGAGATTCCTCTCCTCTCAGACTGAGAGACTCAGGTGAGCTAAAGGACTCTCTACATAACTTTAGTCTAAGTTATCTCAGTGGGTCTCAAACGGTTTGGTCACAAATTATTCAAAAGATTATTTCCGCGGCACACCTTCATATGATCATTATAGATATAAAATAAATAAGAGAATAAAGGAAAAACAGTTATGAAATACTATATGGCAGTAAAACAAGAATATAGTTTAAAAGGGGAGTGATTAGTAAAATATCCATAAAGAAAAAAGTACATCTGTTTACAGTTCTGCTTCATATGGGTGTTGAGAGAGGTATCCATAGATCTCTTCATTTTGCTCTCAAAGTGCACCAGATTGATGCATTTAACTTCAATATTTAAAAAAAAATCTTCCCGGGGGAGCATCCCCCCGGACCCCCCACGAGGAGGTGAGCCCCCCACTCATAAAAAAGACCACTTTACCCCTGCCTATATGCCGTGAGCTGATTATCGAGCCTTCATTGTAACAGTCGTGGGTGTACTGTGTGTGTGCATGTGGGGAGTGTTGCAGTGAAAAATGCCACTGTAGTGCCGCCGCCACTGTGGGCTAAGCCCCGAATGTTTTCAGGTCCAGGCGACGCCCTGATCTTCAGCAATAATTGAAACTGAGCAATCTCCTTCCTCTGCATGTTTTTAAAGCTAGGCTAAATGAAATGCTCTTTGATACTATGGGTACTTGTAAATGTCTATAACTATGTAAATGTATCCTGTAAATATAATGTATTGTAACGGACTGGTTATAATGTTGATGTTTGATGTGTTTGTTGTTCAGAGTTTGTTTGCATTTTACAGAGTGTCAGTGAACGTGCCACTGTTTTGATGGACGGTTCTTGTGACCTGTAGCTGTGGGTTTGGGTGGGAGAGTGTTGTCTGGTTGGTTGGGGCTGGAAGAGGGAGGTTCCTGGAGGGGGAGACGCGGGAAGCGAGAGAGGAGCTAGGGGAATATGTGACGGAGAGTGAGGATATACGACAGAGTTAGTGGATTGTTTGGCGTGGTTATGGCCAACAGTAACCTGTGATCTGTATAATAAACTCCCGGATGAAGGACAAACCAAGCCTCCCTGTGTTCCTGTAGCGAGACGCTACATTTGGTGTCAGAAGTAAAAGTTCAACTCCGGATTAACGACAGCTAACTAGCGGCGTGCTACAGTGATTGCTGCCATACAGCCTACAGTTTCCATCTCGGTGAGAACATGTCGCTGTGGGACTACTCTAAAATTAAACGGGAGGAGGAAGCTGACGAGCGGCAACACTTCGGTGCTACTGAGGGTCGGGGAAGGGGAATGACTATGAGAATGGCCGCTGAGGCTGGCTTTGACCGCCCCGGCTACTCCCCCGATAGAGGCGCCACACGCGGGAAAACAGAGACAAAGAGGGCAGGCACGAGTCAACACACTGAGCAGCACAGAGAAGCCCTCCCCTCATCTATGAAAACACCCAGGTATGATGGCAAAGCTAACTGGGAAGCATTCCAGGCACAATTTGAATTGCTAGCCAAGGCTGGCAGGTGGTCTGCTGAAGAAAAGGCCCTCCAGCTCGCAATGTGCCTTACTGGGGATGCTTTAACCAGCCTGCTGCTACTTAACCCTGATGATAGGAGTGACTATGATGCTTTGGTGGGAGCTTTAAAGAGGCGCTTTGGACTATGCTCTGCAGCTAGCCTGCTCCGCTCTGAACTGTGTAGCCGCAAGCGACGGCCTGGGGAGCCGCTGAGGGAGCTCGCCAACGACATTGAGGGGCTGGTTCACCGCACCTATACTCACATGCCTCCTGTTATCCAGAGTGAGTTAGCCCGGGACTACTTCCTCCAGGGCCTACTACCAGCCGACCTGCGTACACAGACTTTGCTCGCCCACCCC